GTGAAGGCCCATAGAGTTGTGAGACGTTGAGGCTCCCACATTATCTAGACAATCGGCTCAAAGATGGCGGTAAGGCTGTCAGCCTTACACGTCGGCCCCACTTTACTCCCCAGGAAAATTATTTAATTAATTCCTGGTACTCATTTCTGTTAGAGGCTGAGCCGACCCCAGGGCCATAGTGCGGCTGGAAGGATTAGGTCAATTGAAAAAAATCCAATGACTTCATCGGGACTTGAACCAGCGACCTTGCTGCTTGTAGCCTCAACCAACTACGCTACCGCGTGCCCCCTCACTTGTGTACACAGATTTATCTTAATTTGGAACCGAACATGAAGCTACAACCAGCCCTGTACTTCATCATGGCATATGGAGGCGTGGAGGTATAGCCCCAGCACTAGATGGAAGTGAGTGGTCAGCTTCATGCCTCAGCCGCTTTAGCTCCAGGGATAGGGGGTTTGGGTGGGGCCCAGAGCCGGTCTGGATGCTGTGGAGAAGAGAAGAATTTTTGCTCATGCCGGGAGATGAACCCCTGTCGTCCGGCCCGTAACCCGTCGCTATACGGCCTCCTCAGGAACCCAAGAGCGAAATAAAAGTTTCGTCTGAGAAATGTACAGAAGGCCGCAATGTAAGTATTTCCTTATGTTTTCCCTCATTGCACGAGAAACAAGGAATGTTTACAGAGAAGCTAACGGTCGTTCAGCGAGTCAAGAAATCCCTGGAATCCAAATGTTCATTGCCGTTTTCAGAAGAGTTCATCATTGGCCTCTAGTATAATCCAGCCCACATCCCATGTACTATTAATATTAATCTTAATATCGACTTCACATTTATGCCTCTTCAGTGTCATCTTCCCTCCAGGTTCTCTGAATATTTAAATACATTTCTCATCTCCCCCATGTGTGCTTAATGCCCCCCCATATCATGCTAATTTATTTGACCACACTAATAATGTTTGGTGATTAGTACAAATTGTGAAGGATTGAGGATCTAGAAGCGAGCGGTCTTGGCCCAACCGAGGTACTATCCAAACACTTGCCTGGAGGGATTGAGGAAAATCACGAAAAGTTTCAGTCAGCCCTGTCGATGTCCCGACCGAGATTCGAACCTGGCACCTCACAAATACATATGTAGAACATGGCCGCCACACCAGCCTGCGAATGTTGAAACATTATGTAACTACTGTTCGTAGCCGTTCCAGCTATAAATTCGCCCATGTGGAAGGAAGTAACCGTTGAAGACTAGTGCCTTCTGTTATGCAACGCCGTGTAGTCTGATAGCAGCGTTTCGGAGGAACCTCGTGCCTCCTTCTTCAGGATATAAGAGTAGTCCGGTCTCCTGCGAAACTGAGGGCTTAGCGTCCCCGCCATGAAAACATGACGTCACACACTTAGGCCTGGGGATACAAGCTGTGATTCTTGTGTGACACTGACCCAGTGGGACCGCCACCCACGCGAGCAGCAAACCTGTTTGGAGGTTCCTCATTAAATTCTGCTGAATGATTTTCATTTTGCTATTCATTCAGTAATGAAGCAAGTTCTGTTTTATAAAACATGCAGGCGTCGTGGAGGACATCACTAGGGACGCGTGTGTCTTTAGAAGGGCCAGCCCTTCCTCAGTCTCTTTACATTCATTCATCAGTAATCTGTCAGACGACAGGTCCACAGTCTTTTCCAAAACAGTTCCTCCACTTAATGCGATCTCAAGTTTCTCTTTCAAATAAGAATATCCTCTTCTGTCCCCAAAGTCATCCAGCATCTTCTTACGTCTTCTTTCTCGTCTTCTGGTCACTTCTATCCGCCCCTCCGGTTTGTTTTGTCTCCAGAGGAAACCTCTCGCATACGTGGTATCTCTGTTTTTGGAAAGAGACTATCCAGGAAAAGTAATAATGTGGTAGTTTTTCCATTTTCTTTCCACATCGCAGTACAACAGCCGTTCAAACCACTCTGGTCACGCCTGTTGCTATACGAACTTACCATATATACCATACTATATATATACTATACTATATACTATACCATAATCGGTCTTACAGCGCAGAAGCGTTCTATACCCGCCCGTACTTCGTTCGTTGCTTGGCAACCGTGTAATGCATTAAGACTGGAGGCCTGCGGTGATAACAGAAAACTGATCAACTGAGATATATGTTTGGTGCTCGGTAAGAAGATCCGAAGTAGAAATGTATTTTCAGTGATACAGTTATTATATTTCTGAACATTATCCATCGTCATGTTATGTTGGTACCATACGGAGAATTTGTCTCTTCAGTGATGACTTCTGTTTTGATAGTACTCTGATTTCAACGACAATGGCCGTGAAACAGTGCATTCACATAGATGCTAGGTCTCGTGTCTTTGGAGATTTCTTTATATTCTTAATGTTTGTCTTAACTCTCACAGATGTTTTATGTTGTGCTTTCTTTATATACCCTATCTTGTGTTTATGCTACTGCCCGCAGTTATGGACTAGCTCTATTGATTGGGCCCAACTGAGTAGGTTCCACCTGAAGATGGAGACAGAATCCAGTCTCCGAAACATTGTATGTTTTAAATAGAAACAGGACGATGGATTATGTTCAGAAACAGTAATTAATATACCATTGTCACAAACTCTTAGGTCTTATTTAATTGTTATTGATTTAAACCCTTGTCAATTTTGCCTGCGGTTCTGTGTGGGTGTGAAACTTGCTCTCTGACGTTAAGGGTGGAACATAGACTGATGGTGTCTGAGAACAAGGTGCTGAGGAGAATATTTGGACCGAAGAGAGATGAAGTGACGGGAGGTTGGAGAAAACTGCACAATGAGAAGCTTCATAACTTGTACTCTTCTCCAAATATAATTAGAATGATCAAGTCACGGAGAATGAGATGGACATGGCATGTAGCACGAATGAGGGCGAAGAGTAATGCTAATAGGATATTTATGGAAAAGCCAGAAGGAAGGAGACTACTAGGAAGACCAAGACATAGGTGGGTGGATAATATTAAAGTGGATCTTAGAGATCTAGGATAGGGTTCTATGAACTGCATCGATAAGGCTCAGGATAGGGACCAGTGAAGGGCTCTTGTTAACACGGTAATGAAGTTCCGGGTTCAATAAACTGCTGGGGAGTTCTTGAGTGGCTGCACAACTGACGGCTTCTCAAGAAGGGCTCATCTCCGTGAAGCTAGTTAAAACCCTTGTCAGTTACCACCAAAGACGTATTCATGAGAGTGCCTTGAGAAATAAGCTGTGTACAGTTTGTTTCAAGAACAGGCTCTTTATCTCGGTTTAACGTACAAGACCTTAATTTCGAACAGGCTGCTAATATAATGCAGTACCTGATGGTTATATGTTTTCATTGAGTCAGAAGTGAAAGCTGACAGACTTAGCACAAACAGCTAAAGCATACACATCTCGTGCAGGGGCGACACGCGCTCCTCTGCCTTGCAGATCCTCCACTACCCACTGCACTGACAGGCCTTTCGTGATTTTCCTTAGTCTCTTCAGTCAGGTTCCGGGATAATACCTCTGAGCCACGGCCGCTTCTTTCCAAATCCTTTCTAATGGAGTGTTCAAGAACCGCGTTCCCATTCGACGCCCTGTAGTCTGAGATACTTACAGCATCATTAAATAGCCCGTAATTATATGTATATATATATATATAACGGGAGGCACAGGCGTGACCAGTGAACAGCCGCCGGCCGTCTAAATTTAGCTTATAAGGTCCCCAGTTTGAGGATCCTGTTAGTGGTGCTCTCAGAGTGGTCCGTCTCTAGCCGACGAATGCCGTCTTCCGTGTAAATATTTTGTTGACCGATCGCGGATTTCCTATACCCTGAAGATGCAGGCCATACGTTCCTCCGAAACGTCGGTTAACAAAATATCTACACGGCGCCTCATCCCAGAGACCGCATTCTTCATAGTCACCGCCGTGAAAACCTTAAATCTTACGTTCTCTATGTGTTTACGGATGGGAGGTGCATGTAGCAGTCTGCGTGTTTCTGATGCTGCCGTCTTACAGTACACACGGCTGTTATCTTCAGAATTATCCATCGTATTGAAACACAACGTTTCGGAAACTGGATCTGTTTCCATCGTCAGGTGTGAGGGACAAAATGTTGCTCAGGTGGGCTTGATAGAAGCAGCTTTGAGGAACGTAATGTTTGAAGGATGAAACACAGTACGGAGTGCAGTGTGTGAAGTTTTTGGATTCATCTGGCTCGTAGTGCCATCTAGTGAGGGGCGGTTGTGAACACGATAATTAACGTTAGGGTTCTATAAGACGCGTAGAATTTCTTTACAAGCTGAGTGACTTGAATGTCAGCTGCTGAGCAACGACTTTGTTCCGTGCAATTAGTTTGACGTCTTCTAATCGAAAGGGCGGCCCAAAACCGGAATTGCAATCAGTTCCTGCGGCTGCCAGTTTGGCCAAGGATGGACATGAGTTCCTCTGCCTGTTGAGGTAATGACAGGGGACGTAACCATTCATTACGAGGCTGCTGTTTACATGTGTTGCTCCAAGTCACGTCTGCACGCAGGCGCGAAGAGAGAGAACCTGCTGTAACGCTTTGCAAAGTGCGTGGATCCCGAATCATGGCGTAATAAGCTGTTTCATAATCTACTAACTGACGGAGTATTCATTAGATACAACACAGAAGAAGAAATACCCGTTCTTCGCCCGGGATATTGTTACTTTCCTTGTCATTACCACAGTATATAGTAGCTAAATTTTTAAATGCGAAATGGCTCTCAGGTTGAGAAATTAAAAGGAAGATTTTAGCTTTTCATGGCGGTGACTGCGAAGGTTGCCGTCTTTTGGGATAAGGCGCCATGTAGTTTGGTAGATAGGTACCGGTGTTTCGGAGGAACCTGTTGGCTGCATCTACCCTGAGGATGGGAGTAGACAGCGCTGTGACTGAACTTGGCGCGGAATATCGGTCTTTGTGCCTATCCGGAAGTTTCCCGTCCTTGACAGGCCCGGTGCCCACACCCTCGCATAGGGACAAGTCACTTTCCCTTACCTGGACGATGAGGTGGAGCAGCAGGTGGGCCCTCATCCCTGGCTGCGGTCCTCAGACCCTGAAACACAGACGTCAACACAGTGAGCATTCACCTGGCACCCGTACAAAATCAAGTGACGTTTCGGAACATCAAAGCTTAATACCCGCTGGTATTTTGCTTTCTTAATTCTTCTAACCAGAATATGGAGACATGTTTTTGAAACGTCGGTTGGTTTTCAAGATATTACACGGTGTTAGGGGACACGCGATAGCGTAGTTGGTTGAGGCACTAAGCTGTAAGCCGGAAGGTCGTGGGTTCGATTCCCGATGAGCTCATTGAATTTTTCAATTGACCTAATCCTTTCAGCCGCACTGTGGCCTTGAGTTCCACTCAGCCTCTAACATAATTGAGTATCAGGAATCTTCATGGGGGTAAAGGGCGGCCGGCTCGTAAGGCCGACAACCTCACCACCATCTGTGAGCGGATTGTCTTGAACTTGGGGTCCACGTACCCCTGAGGGTACGCGGAGACATCTTACGGCGTACGTAAAATTCAAATTCGTTCCCGAATTGAGGTGCTGGCGCGCCAGAAACAAGCCCAGTCATCTCATTAACAGGTCAGAACCACATTAATAATTAATGAAATATTTAATCATATGATTTTTCTTTGCTAAAATACCTCTGTGCCTTTATCAATTTTTGTATGATAGGCAATAATATATTTGTTATTTAATAGTTTTATTGTCCTTTTTCTCATTTGAAACTTACTGGTTAATGCATTATTCTGGATGTAATTTGTTTACTCTATTTTAGAGGTAGGTTATAGACTGTGTACAACTTGAATTGTACACCAACAACTTTTTTCACAGGTTCTACAGTCCCCTTGGTCCCTGGCCTCTGATTTTCAGTTTCATAATTATTTTATAGACGGTAGGACTCCTTTGACGAGTGATCAGCTCCCGCAAGGCCTCCACTTAACACAGGATAAACACATACCAAACATTCATGCCTTGTGTTGGATTTGAACCCATGATCCCGGCTTCCGAGCGAGCGAATACAGTACATGCCTTAGACCGCTCGGCTACCGTGACCGGCAGACCGAAGTTGAAGTTGAAGAGAAATTATAAGGGTACCCGAACAAAAAAGGTTCAATACCATGATCTAGCAAATGTGGGAGCCTCGACGTCTCACAACCCTATGGACCTCCACGGCCTGTTTACAGGGATAGCCTTTGTCTTAAATAGTTTATGAACATGTGGATGGATACATTCATCTGGCTCAGGGTAGGGGCCAGTTGCGGTGGGGAGCGTTAGAGTAGTTCTTGAAGATCCCGCCCGTTCCCGTTGGTCTTCGTAATGGAGACGCAGTGTGTTCTCTGTGAAGGAGGAACTGCGTTTTTAATATTGCGTTTCGGGCGTCACTTGTCAATTTATATTGCTGTAGAAGCCACCGAATTACCCAAATTATACTGGTACATTTGAGCGTTACTGTCTCAAGTCATTCCTTTAGACGGGTAATGCAGATCATCACGGCGACATATGAGTAGCCCGTACGTGTTTATCTCTTGCGACCAGGAAAGTACAGTGACGTCAGTATTGGCTGTTATGAATAGAACAGCGTGTTTATCGCGTTTCCCAATGTTTTAGTAGACACGCTGGACGTAACAGCAACTAGAGATGTTTGTGTGTGCGTGTCGCATAACTAAACGGGGCCAGCTGATTTTACCGCGTCCCTATGGCAACCGGTTAATGATGTTTAGGGAAACAGTCGCTGTTTACTGTGAGAACCATAAGGAACACACAGATACACTGTGTGGGCAGAATGCAGGGTTCTGTAATGTTGAATCAGCTGGTACATATATTTACCACTGCCCATTAAAGGGTAAATCCACATGAGACAGAACTGCAGCATGCCATGTGAAGGTAGAGTTACTGGTAAATATACCTGGGCCCATTCTCATTAGTGGTCTCTTCATACAGTTCTGTCGTACTGTCCTTCAAGACGGTGTGAAAGCGAGGTTTACGACTGTCACAGTGCCGCTGTTTATGTGAACATACGTGGGGTGTAGGCGTGGCAACAACAAATGTGTGTCCAGCCAGGAAAGAGAATACAAGTCGGAAGGTTGATACGTCAGTTTCATACATGGATGTTATCCAGGACCTAAGCAGTACTCACTAGCCTGGGTATTCCTGAACGGAAATCTTATTAATTCACATTAATCCCCCAGTTCTGTGAGCCATTGTAATAAGGAGATGAAATAGTGGAAGAGAGTTTGGAGAGTGAAAGTCATGGGAGAAGTTAAACCCCCCCCCCCCCCCCGGGGGGGAATAAAATGCAACTTTTCTATGAGTTTCCTATTTCCCATCGCGGACTTAAGGCTGTGTGAAATACACTCCTGGGATAGCTCAGTCGGTATAGCAACGGATTGGGCGGCCGGGGTTGCATTCCAGGATTTTTCTCTGCTCCACAGCGTCCACACACACACACACACACACCTCTATCCAATGGGTACCTGGGAGTAAAACGGTCGAAGTGTGAAGCTAGCCACTCACATTCATCTAGTGGTTAAGAATGTATGGAGCGATTCCTACGCGTCATTGGAGCGCGCTGCCTGTTTAATCAAGCACAAGGACAACTTTACCTTCGACTTCGGTTTATTAGTTTGGTTGAGGTTCATTCTCTTAACGTTCTGACCGCTGGATATTGTGGCGTGACAAGGGAAGCTTGTAATTTGTGTTTGCAAACAGATAAGCAACCGACACTTGTGTCCTGTTGCTGTTAACTACGAGAAATGGTTCTCTCTGATTATGAACCGGTTCTTTTAGGCAGCAGCCACCAGGTGGGGCGATCTGCAGTATTCCGGGATCTCGGAAGAAGGTGATAACGCCCCTTTACAGCAAGTTGAGTCTTGTTCTATCACTTCATTGTGACCTGTATGAATGTTCTCTCTGGGTTGTGTTACCGTGTTGTCTGGTACGTGGGCATCAACTGTCCGCTTCTACGTTGCACGTTCCTCAGACATGATAGTACCTACCAGGTAGGCTACACATTGCCATAGTCAAGAAGATAGAGGCAGAATGTCTCTCCGAAACATTTGTACCGGACCGCACGACGTCATAACCCAGAAGAGTTCAACAAGAATCATCACTGACGTGAATATCACAAAGCTTGACTTAATTAAATTGTGGATGCTGGATTTGAGTCTCTCAAGCCCGACGTTTCGGAGGAACATTTCGCCTAGATCTTCAGGCTCGAAAATTAAGGCAAGCAAGAAACAAGCAGGCTGAGCTGTAAGCTGACCGAAACGCGCTGTTTCCTTTGCTCCCATTGGCTGTCTGAATCCCCTTACAGAAACTGGTCACTGTGTCAGCCCCTGTCCTCTGACTGGCCTATATCAGGCTTCCCTGATCTATTCTCCGACCATCAAAACGGAGCCAATATGTTCCTCCGAAACGTCGGGCGCTCTCTCTCTCGGCGGTAAACCCACTAGACAATACGCTTTTAATTGTTTAGATAGGCAATTATGTCCTGTGCATTGCGTTATTGCTTATTGAGTTTAGCACTGCTTAGCTTATCGCCATGCCCCGAACGTGTTGCCGTGTGCACTCGGCCTGCTTCTCATGCGTCCCTACAGACGGTTCTCCGCTGCTGTGAACCAGCGTCGTCGCGGGCGAGCGGGTGTGTTCCGTAGTTGCCGCGTTCAAATCTCGGCTCAGAGACCGAATTGCCCTGAAGTTTTCACGGTTTTATTCAGCCTCTCCAGGCAACCGCCGAGATGGTACGTCAAATATGGCCACTCTTTCATATTCCCCGGACAAATACTGGGATAGTAACTCAAATTAGGCAACGATCACTTCCCTCTCTCCTCCTCAGTTCATTATTCGCTAATCAGACGATCCAGCCTCTGTCCAGTGGGTCCTGGAGGCTCTATCCCCAGAGATAAAGCGGCAAGGGCGTGAAGCTGACCACTCCCCCTTATTCCTTCATGGATGGTACTTAATTACATAATTACAGAGGTATTATTTTTTTATTGCTGATGGGGTGGGACTAAGTCCCTTGTACTGCGGCCACTTCTGGCCTATTGTACCAGTCCCAGATGATAGGTGAGGGTGATTGTGGAGCAATTGGTGGAATGAAGATTGGCAGGGGAAACCGAAGCACTAGGGGAAAACCTGCCCCAGCGCCACTTTGTCCACCACAAATCCCACTTTACCAGACCCGGGATCGAACCCGGGCCGCCGCGGCGGGAAACCAGCGACTAACCGCTTGAGCTGTGGCACGGCCCAATTACAGAGGTAACTTTACGTTCTTTTTTTTTTTTTACCTTTTATTCTACGCTGTATAGCTTGACATAATGACAATGTAAGGAGTGTGGGGGGGTTGGAGGTGTAGCTCCCTACGTTCTTAACCTCGGCCAGGACCTATTCCTTTCACGTGCGCCCGAATTAATTATGCACTAATCACCCTATCATGCGACACTGTTAGCGCGCGATAGACGGATGAGAGAAGTCACTAGAAACGAGCGCCGCTGAATCACCGTATATGGTTGTGTAGGTCTTGCCGCCGGATGTCAAGCGGTCTGTCGCTTTGCACAATCCTTACCTACTGTGAAGCTCCTCGGGCACGCAGGTACACTCATTCACAAAAACTGTAGCAATACACTGGCCCGTTTGCTGAAGAAAAGGCGTAACCTCGAGACCCGGTGGTGTGAGGTCAGCTAGCAACACGCGAATGCGGCACAATACGAGGAGAAAGTATTTATACTGCTACAAACGGATAAAGACGTTGGGATGAGCCAAGGAATGAGAGATGAAACATGAGGTGGGAGGAGGTGGCGGCGACACGAGGGGGGATGCATGCGCTTTGTATGAATCAAGCACTGTGTACAGTGTGAGTCTGGGGGGGGGCTGCAGAGGGAGCAAGCAGCACATTCAACAACACGAAATTGTTAATATTATTGTCTTCTGCTTTCTCGCCTCTCATCTAGAAACGTAAAGACCAAACTATACGGACCTTTAACTCCGGCTGTGGCTTTGTATGGGTGTGAAACTTGGTCTTTAGTTTCAAAGGAAGATCATAGGCGAAGAGAGTTTGAGAATGGGGTGATGAAAGGAATATGTGAACATAAGGAACAAGAAATAACAGGAGGATAGGGAAAGTGCATAATGAGGAACTTGATAATTAGTACTCTTCACCAAATATGTTGTTTTTTTTCCTTGGCACTACAGCCCCAGTGGGCCTAGGCCTACCTCCATGAACTTCTCCATTCACTTCGGTTTTTCTAGATCTTACACATTCGGTAGGACTCCTTGGGCGGGTGATCAGCTCGTCGCAAGGCACACACACAAACTAAACATCCATGCCCTGAGTGGGATTCGAACCCACGATCCCGGTTTCCAAGCAAGCGAAGACAGTACATGCCTTAGATCGCTGGGCTACCGTGACCGGCACCAAATGTGCTCAGGATGGTCAAATCGAGAAGGATGAGATGGCCGGGTCATGTAGCACGTATGTTGGAGGAGAGGGACCACTCGGAAGACCTTACAGTAGTCCTAGCAAGTGCCGGTTCCACCTGGATTTTAAACGAACTTCAGGCGTCACAATCCTCTTGGAGAAGCTGATAGTCCCACAGCTGCTCAGAGTTTTGTGCCTCATATGTAACCCGAAGGTTCATAAGAGCCCATCACCTGACGGTCTCGTAAGCCAAATGAATCAAGTAACACTCTTCAGCCATATTTGTGTAAGATCCATTTTAATATTATTCTTCATCTACGGCTCTCTTCCCCCTCAGGTTATCCGACCAAAACTTTGTATTCATTTCCTGGTTCTGTGATGAGTGTTGGTGCGGCCCATCTCGTCTTTGTTTTGATCGTCGTAGTACTGTGTGACGAAGACACTCCTGAAACGGAAACCTGTATAACCCGGAACACTGTTCAGGTCCGTTGCTGTAACTCTGCGCCCTTCTCATGCGCGGTGTGCCGTGTATTCGGGAAGTCATTCCAATTCGCAATAACTGTTGGGACGCTGTTAACTTTATACCTCGGGGGCATGAACTTGGACCTTCCGATTACAAAGCAGGAACGGAGACCGCTGTTATCATGTTCGTGCTGCGCCAGGGAAAGTTCTTCTGGTGATGAAGGCGATGTGGTGGGTGCCGCTGAGAGAAAGGCTTCGTGCCCTGTCGCTGCGGGCATGAAGGTCACATGTGCTGAACTTGACAAGCCTTCCACTCAGCTATTGTTTCCATGTTAGGCACTTTTTCCTCTGCCTAATTTAAATGCTTTGAAAATGTGGTAAATTTCAAATGTATGGTAACTTCAGTAGATAACAGTAATGCCGCCCCACAGCTCAAGCGGTTAGTCGCCGGCTTCCCACCGCGGCAACCCGGGTTCGAGCCCAATTCATGTTATGTAGTATTTGTGATGGACAAACTGGCGCTGGGGCAGCTTCTCTCCGAGTACTTCGGTTTCCTCTGCCAATTCTCATTCCACCGACTGCTTCACACTCGTCATCATCATCAGGGGCTGGTACAGTAGGCCAGTTAGTGGCCGACGTATCAAGTGGACTCAGTCTCGCCCCACTCCAAGAAACTAAAAGAAAAATAAACTGCATAACAATATCAGACCGAGCAGGCTGGCACAGCGGTAACGCTCTTGACTCGTATGCAGGAGGTGCTTCGCTCGAATCTCAGACGGGGCAGAAGGTATCCTGACGTTCGTTGTGGTTTTCCCCGGTCCCTGCAAACAGTTTCTAGGTTATCATTCGTCAGTCGTCCAACCACTCAACCTGTGTACTTACTCTGGGTACAGACGGCATCATGAGATATTCCGCATGGAAACAGAGAACAGTACATTCGTGGAAATACATAAATATACCCCATGGGCAAAATGGAGCGTTTTTTTCGTGTTACAGCAAGCGGTATGTATAGTAACCACTGTGCCTTAAAAGGTTAACTCACGTACACTATTTGATCTCTATATAATCATATTCTGCATATTAAGAGAGCCGGGATAGCTCAGTTGGTATCGTGATTGTGCTACAGACTCGACAGCCCGAGGAACTGGATTCGATTCCCAGCAGGGGTAGGGCATTTCCCTCTTCACCACAGCTCCCAGATAGACTGGGTAGCGAGGACAAGGTGGCCGGAGAGTGAAGCCGACCGCCCACTTCTGTCTAGCGCCGCGCGGCGCTTAATGAAGCAGACGGGGAAGTTTGCCTTTTACCTTAATGTTTATTGATGAAGATCTGAGTTGAGGCACGCGGCTCTGTTACATAAACATGACGCGAACAAACTTTCTCATGCTCGGTGACGTACCGCGGCTGTTCTCTGTAGATGCGCGAGAACTGAGCTGGGAAGCGAGGCATATTTACTGCTGTTTCGGGGAAAGGAGAGCCTCCATCTTCAGGGTCAAAGAATACACCAAGCTGGCAACCTGCAAGAAGCCAGTAAAGCGAGCGAGACAGTATGTTCCTGACTAACATCAATAAACGTCTATTAGACTACACGGCGTCACATCCCCCCCCAAAGATAATATTCTTCGTAGCGACAGCCGTGAGAACCTCAAATCCCCTCAGGGTCATATTTTGTTTCAAGTGTGGCCTACTTTGTAGGGTACTGCCTCCTGTGACGTGACGCCGTGTAGCCTGCTAGAAGTTTACTGGCGTTTCGGAAGGACGTACTGCCTCCGTCAGTAACGTTCCCACCTCATGACTCAAGGTACGCGGGTTCAAACCCGGCGGAGGTCGTGGAATTTTTAAGGGCGGAAAAATTCAGGGAACAAGTTCTCCGAGAGGGACTTTAAGCCGTGGGTCCCGTGTTGTAGATTTACGGCACGTAAAAGATCCTCATGCCTCTAGGAGACCTCTGGGCAAAATTAGGCAAAACGTTTCCCGCCCAAGTAGTTTCCAGTGCCTCCGGTAGATGGGGGTGTATCGGGTACCACTGCCAGTAGAGGGGCCGAACTCGCTGACTGAACGGGGCTGATAGCGAGCACCAGTACCGGAAGGGTATGGCGACTGGTAGAATATCAAAGGGGGACGTACTATAGACTATTAGTCGCGGTGCATGGGGAAACCCACGTCCTCCTTATTGTCCGATCCTGAAAATTGAGGTTGTCCTTTTGTTCCCAAACGTCGATAATCCTATACCAGACTACACGGTATCACATCTCAGATGGTAGAGCTTCTCTAGTGACCTCGGTGAGAGAACCTCACACCTCACATGTCCTGCTTTGTTGGTGCAAACTCCTTCACTTCCTTGTATAGATTTCGTGTCTGTCCGTCCGTGTTCTGATCTCTGGAAGTGCCCTGTGAATATGTATGGGGCTTGATATTCGGAAGGGAGGGGGGTCCGTTTCGAGCGTTGTATAATATTTTCCCCGAAATGTGTCATCACGCAAGTTTATGGCGTGCGTTACACAGAATATTGATGTAGCTAAGATCAAAGTTACTTGTACCAGGCAGGAGAGAAAGTGGAAGTTGGTTGCAAAGTCTGTGTGTCCTGCCCGACGCTTCCACTGGCCAACATGTCAGCCGCAGCTTCCTCCGAGGTGTGGGCACACCCGAGCTCCTACAGTCTCGGCAAACACTGGAACCTGAGGTAGGGCACTCGTCCTGGCCCATAAACATTGTTACTGCAGTCATTACCGTGTTAAGTCCGTTTCGGAATGCCGATCGTTGGAACGAACCCTTTCAAGTGCAGTCTTGTCTCAGTAATGTCAAATCGCGTGGTTCTTACCTCACACAAGATACATCACACACACATACAGGGTGTTTCACGACTTAGGGCATAACTGCAGGAAGTGATTTCCTAGGTCTTTGCGATCAAAAAAGTTCATATAAACATGTGTCCGATTTTGGACGGTTACGGAGTTATGGCCGTCTTTCATTCCCGCACACGCCCTCGTGTGAACCGCGTCTGTCAGCTGGCGGGTCGCTATTTTTAGCCAGCTGCAGAAGAGCGTTCTCCTTGCTCTACACTTGAGATGTACCTAAGGCGGGGAGGGTTGGTATGTCCGGCGCGGTTCACAACCGAGCGGCAGCATGTGTTGCGCCCGGCGATGGTATTTTCGAAAATCAGCTTTAAGCACCAATAAATTCAAATTAAAGGTAATTTCACGAAGTTAACTTTACATTCATACTTTAAATGTATCATGTATTATGCTGGTTTATTATTTTGTTCCGTTTCTTGTCAGTAATCGTTACCTTCTATTCTGAGTTTAAAACAGTCATAATTCCGTAACCGTCAAAAATCGGACACGTGTTTATATGAACTTTTTTGATCACAAAGACCTAGGAAATCACCTCCTGCAGTTATGCCCTAAAGTCGTGAAACACTCTGTGTGTGTGTGTGTATGTATATATATACATACATACACCTCCTGCAG